CTGCAAAGCCAGCCTCGCAAACCTCGCTTCGAATTCAGTACAATGGCATAGACCAATATCACTCTTAGCCGTAACCTGTCGGAGGTGAAATTCTAAAGCCCCATGTACACTAATGGACTGGGCAGTTGTTATATAGGACAAAGCTTAGTGTAAATACAGCCAAAAAGCGGGCTACAAATGAAAGGTATCCATGTGTTTGTTGGTTTATGGACAGATTATCTAGCTGCTATTGCTAACTGTTACTGTTAAAGGGCACAGTTTATTCTTCTGGCAGTTTCTAAACAGCTTCAGGTGCGTTACACCACCCTATGGGCTGGAGTGGTGCGATCCTGATCTGGATCAAGTCCAGAAAAACCAAGGCCGATGCAGATTTGACATATGAGCAACAGAAATGCATAAATGAGGTTTAGTATAAATAAAAATGTATGAAAATTGCATCAGAGTTTTATCTGTGTACAACTGAAATAACAAAAGGGAGCCCAAACACAAACTGAGCTCGTGAGATTGTAAGGCTGGCTTTTCAAAGGCTGTGGGGTGGCGTACAAATGAGGAGATTCAAGATGTAATTTTCCAACTACAATGTGGGTGTAGAGCAGCCAGGTTAGGTGACATTCATGTCAAATAAAATCCCCCTCCCCCTTACTAAAAAAAAATTCCCACTGCCCTCCTGACCTTTAGCCACAGTAGCTGCTGGCAACACTCACATGAGTAGTGTGGAAAAACGAAACCTAATTCCACACACACCACTTCAGACATTCACATGTTGCGTGTGAAGGGCATAGACCGAGATCGATCTCTTTGCAAACAAGACGAGGCACAGGGTTTATGATTAATGTCACAGGGCACTGAATATGGATCAGCATGCACGTGAGAGAGTGCACACATACAGATGTGAGAAGCATTACACATTACTTTGCTTTTTCTTTCCTCATACATGACAATGGGCTGGAGCAGTTACATGTACTCTGCAATAAATCTTGAGTGTTCTTGTATTTACATCCTTGGTTATGGCGAAAACAAAATGCAAATGAAATGAAAATCAAAAGAGAAAACATATAAAAATACACAACATAGTATTGCACCTTGCAGACGGGCAATATATACTCTCAGTTTTGTTGGTTGTTTGTAACATCTACGTGACTCCACTACCCCTACTGCTGGTGTGTGAAAGTTAGGTTGTGGGCGCCGGGCTCAGGTCCAGCCCCGTCCTGTCAGCTACATTCAATACCATAAAATACTCAGTCATTACAAAAGTCATAATCTCTCAGTCTCCAGGCCATTCACATTTTAAGTTTACTGTCTACAAACTGTGCCTGTAGATTGGTGAAACGCTCACATTAGCAGATGAGCTCTAATATCTTACAACACTTTCTAACGTTTGTGTTCCATCTCCCATCATCTGAGAACCGCATCAATAAGATAGAGAGCACCAAAGATTGAGGGACGAGTCCTTTTGTAACTTCTAACGATGTGTACGCACAAGCACATATTATCTTAGCATAGACATTTCTTTAATCTATAAATGCATCTCTTAACTTTCACATGTGCCTGCAAAATATGACTCCTCCCAAGTTCCTTTGAGTTTTGTGTTGTGTGAGGTATGACAAGATTGTTTTTTTTTTTTAACGTATTTTCATTTTGTTGCATTATTTTTCCTGTTTGTGTTTTTTTTCTCCAAAGCTGTATTTCATAAAAAAGAAACAATATAAAAAAGAAATTCCTGTTTTGTTGGTTGCAAATTCCTCCTGATAAAAGGGGACGGACAACTGGAGACACACACAGACAAACAGGTCGGTTGGCTTATCAACACAAACTATAGACGGGAAATATTTTCTATGTTACACTGCACGCATGGTCAAAAAGTGACAACAGCTGTTTTTTCCTCTTTTACACAGAGCAGTTTAAGCATCAAAAAAATTATAAAATGAAGAAATCTCCAATAATTTTGTTCAGGAGTCTTTTTTTAAAGTCATGTCTTTTCATTTCGTTTCATAATCTAATCAGACTCAGAAGGTAAAGCAGCATTATAGCCCCTACTGTCTCTCACATACGCACACACACAGGCTCACACATGCACACGCACAGCTCACGACAACAAAGGACATCAATATGTTTTTTCAGTTCTTTTACAAAGACGTGTTGGTATTCCAAACCTGCATTTCTGGAATGGATCTGTTTCTGATCCTCACCGTGTGAAGGGGGGATGTTTGGGGGTGTCAGCTGGCATGGGAGCGGGGGCTCATGTGGCGCTGTTGTGAGAACTAAAGGGGAGACCGTACATGCTCCCCGCCCTCTGAGTGTTTGACAACAGTGTCTCTGAAGCCACATCACCCACTCTCCCCCATGTCAGTGATGGCTCTGAGGGTGGAAGCCCTCAGCTTTTTGTTTACTCGCCCCTGTTTTCTTCTTCTCTTGCATCCTCACATTCTTGCACTCAAGTCTCTGCTTGCTGTCACTGCTGCTTTGCTGGTCACATTCATTCGATGGCGCCGCTGTAAAGGCCAGTTAGGCCAGCCTTGTCTCACAAGGGAGTGGCCTGGACCCCAGTTCTTGTCAGTGGGGACATCCCACCCAGCGGTGAGTAGGTAAGATAGCTAGGGTGCTTAGGGAAGAGGAGAGGAGGAAGAGAGGATGACGGTGAAAGGGAGGCTGGAGGAGGGCTATGAATTTGAAATGTCACTGGTTTGGCCCTGCTGTAGGAAGGATGATGGGGAAAATGAGTGCTAAAGGGAGAATGAGTAAGTGCTACACATCCCTCCGTACCCTCCTACACAGGGATGGCTCTCTGCCCCTTGCTGGGGTGGATAAGGGGCAAGAGGGTTATGTGTGCTGGTCTAATACTGACAACAAGACCGGATTGGGACTGAGCCCACTGAATCTGCCAGCTTCTGTTACACAGAGCCAGTCAGGAGGCCCATGTAGCGCTGCGTTTTGTTGGGGAAACTAATGTACTGGTTAAACTCTGATGAGTAAGTGGATAAAAAGGAGAACCGCTGCAGTAGTGCAAAAAAATCTCACCAGCCTGGCTGGGTGGGGGTTGTTACGATGATGGTGGGGTACGATTCAGTCTGAGCTAGGTTCCACAGAGGGCGCTGTCTTGGCCTACAGCAGGGCAGGGGAGAGGGCAAGTGATGGATCTCTGGAGGCGGTGATGTGCTTGAGGTCGTGTTCCAGTTCATCTCTCCTCCCAGTACTGATCCAGACATGTGAAGCAGCAAGACTTGGCCATCTGTAATGATTACCCATGATCTGCCTCATGACCCTCTGCTCAGGTAGGTCTGAGGGGTGCAGATTACCCATCTTGTACAAGTGCCCACTATGAACAGCAGCTTGGCATTGAATATGAAATACTCTTTTCTGTCAAGAGTGGAAAACCCAGGTAGATCTGGCTTGGCCCCAGAATTGGAATGAACAGAGTGGGCTCTTATGATCAAATTAACATTTGTGATTGGCTGTTTGGCTAGCACACTACAATATCTGCCATGGATATTTGCAATGTGTTATAGTGGTGAGTAGTGGTAAAGTGCATGAGACCAAGGCCCAATCCCATTTCTCCCCCTTGCCAGTGCCACTTAGGGCGAAAGGGTAAGGCTACATAGCCCTTCAAGCTGAGGGTTCTCAGAGGCCGACACAAAACCACACACAAGTGGTATGAGGCTAACTACAACAAAAGTTACCTGCAGTCGATCCTACACACCTAAAACAAATCCGCCAACATTCCCTGGTGACCAAAACATATTCCTATTCTTCCGATGCTCATAGACTTCGCAAGCGAAATCACCACAGCTTAAGACGGCACTGTGATTCAAAATTTGACAGCAGCTGTTTGCTTAACCATTGTCATCAACTACAGTATCACTGAGGCACAGAGATCTTGAAGGGTCTTCTCATTTCATAGAAGATTTCAACCACTACTCCTTGCAACTCCATTTGAGGGTTAATTTAAAAACGAGGGGCAGGGGTAAAGAATAGGAAAAGAGACTGGGCCTAAAAGAGGTGTCTCTGAAGAGGTTCATTTCAGTTAAGAACATTTCATCTTTTTATGTCTAATGCACTGTCCCTACATGGAATAAAACTTATTTCCATGAAAATATTAATGAAGATCCAATGGCAGCCATCGTAAGTGTACTGGCAAAGATCGCCACAATGCAGAGGGAGAGTGCCCCTTCTATGCATGCTAATTCAGTGGGCGTGGCCACCACAGATTTGCACTCGCTCTGGGTTACCTATCCTCTTGCTACTTGCTTAGATGGGAGTCAGCTGGGCTGCACATCTACGTAGTCCCTTGTCACTTCTGTGAGTTGGTTTCTGTTGACACAAACGGGTGAATCCAAATTTCAAAAGATGATACTTGGTCCCACATAACAAAAAGATAACTAATGTGATGGGCACCATTCCCTGGAGCGGCTGAAACCTTCCAGGGGCATAGCTGGCCCTCCTGTCTTCAGTGGTATTTCATTTCAACCAAGTGATAGCACTGAGGGTGTGTGTGTATGCCATGAGTGTTTTCTCTTTTATGACTACAAGTGTGCACTTTTGCAAAAAACTATGCACATTTCTGTGTTAATCTACACATGCGCCAACATGAATGGTGTATGTCTGTGTGTAGGCTGTGGGCAGCTGCCCTGTGTCCACAGAGTGAGGTAGTGCCTGACATCACAGGGGCAGTATTGCTGCCCCAGCCTGGGGGTATGTCCACTTTGAGGTAAATGGTAGCTTTCTTGGCATTGCCTGCTCTCAGTGATGCCCATGGTAAAAAAAGGCAAACATGTATGGAAGCCTGGGGGGGCCACACTGAGCTGAGTCCACGAGGAGGGGACTCTGTACAAACCCTGCAGGTTAGGGCTGTATATCGACACTGCTGCGCAGCACATACATAAAAATGAGGCATTCATGTTACTCTGAGGTGATGTGTGTTTTATGTTTATGTGCGAGTCAGAGAGAAAGTGTGTATGTTTGTGTAAGATGAGATCGGCTGTCTTGCTGGTGGCTGCTGCTATTCAAAACCTCCTCGGAGGCTGGGCGTGGGAGACTTCACTGCTGCTGACTACACCTGCACTGACCCCTGGCTCTGAATCTACAGCCCAGCCACCAAACGTCATGTCCTCTATCTCTGCTCCCCCTCCCATCTCTTTGTCCTTTCCTTTAATGCAGCGACTCCTTGGAGTGAGAAGGGCTTAACTGTCATTCAGAAGACACTAGGCTGCTGGCACAAGCAGCACGGGCCCAGACAAGGCAATTCTGCTCATATGTGTGTTTGTGTGTGCGTGCGTGCGTGTGTGTGTGTGCGCGTGTGCGTGCACCGTATGCCACAGGAGCTGGTCCAATGACAAAAAATGAAGGTAGATACGGAACCGCGGTCTGCATGTTTTCAAAGATGTACAACACAACTTCATAAAACTGGAGTAGAGTTATATAAATATAGCACCGGTTTCACTGGGATCATAAGAAGAAGAAGCTCCAAAAACAGCTGTAACGGCTCAGATTGAGTTGAGGGATAGATAATAACTAGGTTTGGTAGCTTTCTACAGCCATCATACACCAGAGTAACAAAGCATCTGTTGAAATTTCAGTGTGCAGTGCTTGCTGACTGCAGGTGCCTGCATGAGTGTGAGTGATAACTGTTGTCCATATTTTCTGAGTTATGGCCTTAATTAACCCTTCTTCAGAAATAATACTGACAGGTGCAGGCCATCTTAAGAGATATGGGCTTCAAAACGTAAATCTGTGACCGCTACAAAGAACCAGAACAGCGGAATGGACCCCCGCTCTGAAGGACTGAGGTGGAACAGGCTGTGTGTGTCTGTGTGTGTGCGTGTGTTGGGTGTGTCTGTGTGCATGTCTTGGCAAATGGCTACAACTCTTACTAGATAAGACATCATGCTCAGACAGAAAGGCCCCCACACAGATCTAAAAACAGGGGTAAGTAAAAGGAGGAGAAAGCGGCGGAGGAGAAGGTTTTCAAAACACAAAATCCTCCGTTTGATTGACTCTCCTGGCGCTGGTGTGTTATTGTTGTTTCCAGTTTTTGAAACCACATATTGTAAATGCAGTGTTGGAGAAATGCAGACTCCTGCCAAGAGAACTCTCCCTCCACACTTCCTTATAAAACGATGGCCTTTCCCATCTCCCAGTTTGCCCCAGCTCTCGCTTCCCCTTGTGTGGTGGCAACTGTGCTTCACACCTCCTGGTCCTCGAAGACAGCGGGGGGAAGAGTTCATTTGGACACTCCACTTTCATGTGAAGAAAGCGGCTGGCGTGGCACGCCCCGATCATCCGCAGGTCAGTCACCTTCATCAGAAGCTTCGGCCAGAAGTGAGGAATGTTGTGCTTGCGGTAGTTGATGTAGTGCTCAAACGCCAGCAGGTAGGTCTCCTGGCAATTCTCGATCTTGTCCATGCAGGTCAGGCCAGAGCGGTCTGTGGGAAGCAGGAGATTGGGTGAGTGAAGCTGAAAGAAGACTAATGTTAATCCAGTTCTTATTCTATTCTATTTTTATTCTACTTTATTCTATTTTAGTTCCTAAATGTTATGGCACCCAATACTAGGTGAGAGAGAAACGGTATTTTGATTTTCTGTATGTCCTACACATATAGTGAATTGACAAAATCCTTGAACCTTAAAGAGTTTTGAGGGAAAGAAAAGGGGCTGGAGGAAGAGTATTTGAAAATAAACATATAAGCAGCCCTGACAAAATGTAAATACTCTGGCAGCAAATGGTTGCAAGACAATCCTTTAACTGTGTTGCTCACTTGTTGAATGAAGAAAAAAAATGTCCAAGATTCTGACAAGCATCTACAGTAACTGAACTGAAATGATGGACAATATAAATCAAACTGAACTGAGAGATCAGCATTAATATCCTGCCCTATTTAAGACAACAACAACCTGAGCTCATGAGCAGTACGGCCTGCAGCAGCGCCACTTCTGTGTCGTCCAGGTTGAACTGTGCCAGGCTCTTGCCCAGATCGAAGATGGCATCCGATACCACGCCCAACCCACCGTTCTTCAGCTGCTCACGCTTCACAGCCACCTCCCCGCTCAGCGTCAGCGTCTCGCTGTCTGGGTCGTAACGCATGGCAGCTCGTAGTGACATGATCTCCATGCAGCAGCCCTTCAACAGGATGATCTGGTCTTCACAAGGCAGCTGATGAAGTGACAGACAGAGAGAGACGTGAAGATGGGCTGAAAACAGGCAGAGATTGTTTTTTTCCACTGCTGAACACAGATACGTCCTCATTTACATGAATATTAGAATCTCTGGGCTGAAACCCATCTGATTAAATCTACAGACTCTGATGTGCTGAATTAAATCTCACCTTCATGTAAACTTGTTTCTGGACTACTGAGTAGATAAATTGGCAATCACTGGCTTGATTCATCTTGTAATTTTGTACCTGTTTTTAATATATTTACTGCTGCAACAGTTTGTGCAAAAGCAGGAGTTTAGTGGCAAAATCAGTGGCTTTGTTTCCTTGCATTCTTATCAGCAATTCACTGCAGTGGCATGAACAGACCTCATGCAGGTTTCACCTTCTTCCTCTGATTAAAAAGGTTTCTTTCATAATATACTGTGAATAAAAAAATACATTAAACATGACTGGTTATCAGTGTCACTGTCTGAAATATTAAAACTCTGTCCTTATCTGCTACTGTTGAATTTCTTCAACTCTAAAACGAACAGAACACCCAGCAGCAGCTATATGAGGAATTTTATCTCGTTTACACAGATTTGAATAGTAGTATCCATCATGGCTGTAACACTTGTATAATAACAGAATTATCAGAATTAATTTTCCTTTAAAATACATTGTAATAAAAGAATTCAAAAGTATCTGTGATTAACAATTCCCAACTGTTCATCCCACCCCTTTTTCATCCAGACACACCTGCCTGCGTGAAGATGACAGGCTTGGTAAAAAGGTAACATGATGCGTGTCATAAAACTGGCAATTGCGCAGGTAGGAAACTGGGAAACACGGACACACTGTTGCAGGTCTCATTACAAGCAGCACAGACAAGAAACATGATTCCATGAGGCTAATTAAGGCAGAGCAGAAGCACTTTGTCACACAGGCTGTTTACATACAAAATGTGAATGACCAGCATGTTGGCCTGTGAGCTGGGTTTTTCTGGTAGAATGAAATCATTTAAAGAACCTTACATTAGTGAAACCTTGCCACAGTACATTTTTTATTTTCTGCAGTACACTGTTAATAGGTATCTGTCATAATTCGTGTACCACATGTTGTTGTGGTCTTTCTCAAACAGAGGAACTCCTAATTCCACCAGACAAATTGACTGTGTCTCCTGAGAGTTACTCTCACACTCATCATCTGCTTCAATAGACCATTAACCACCACTCACCTCAGAGAACATGGGCAGTTTTTTGGCAAAGTCAACGACACGAGTGATGGCAGGAGTAATGATCTTGGTGAACTCGCTGAAGGCCTCCAGGTCCACCTTATCTCCGTCTGACGTGGGGGCGACCGGGGACTGGCCAATTTTGTCCGGCTACATGAGAAAATCAGTGAAGGAGGGTGATCAGAGCACAGCTGAAAATGTAATTAGGGATGAGCCAAGGTGAACAGAAAAGAGCTGGTTAGGACAAACTAAAGACTTTTGTACCCAAAGTGGGGTAGAAATAAACACAGGGCCTGAAGTTAGCAGACAGGGGCGGGGGTGTTAGTACAGCAGGAAGGAAACACATTTTGTTACTTGATTCATCCAAATTTGTGCTAAATCTTAGTTAATGCAGCTTTAAATGATTTGATACCCTCTGTGCATCTTTTTACAAAGCGCTCACTTCCCTTTGGAGACTAATTAAAATCTATTTATCAGATAAGGTCAGCAGACTGTGCTCTGCGAAAGAAATGGGAGGTGTTAGCAGACAGACAGGACTTACTTAGAGGACGGCTGCAGCGGGGAACTGCAGGTCAGGAATACATATGATTACAAAGCTGTGTGAATCAAGGCCATGAAAAAGAAAGACTCGCACTCCATTGAATAAAGCACATGTCAAGGCTGAAGTCATTTATTCAGGCTGGGCTTCAGCTGCATATGGGATGAGATAAGGTATGAAATAATCACCTCACACAATGGAACCATAAAGCATAATGCAGAAGGGCTGTGTACAGTAAATCAGTGCAAACGTAGCCAGTCCTCCACTGTGTAGCTGAGAGCTGAGCAGTTATGGAAAATATGAACAGTCATATAATAACTTTGATGGACTGCAACTCTTGTCATATAAGAGCCAAAACAAAGCATTGGTTTCACTTCTGAGGTTCAGAACTGCTGAATGCATGCCACGCTCTCAAGGGGAGAAGCTGAAAAACAAACCACAAGACAAAGACAGGGCAGGGTCAGCCGCATGTCACCAGCCACAGCTGACACGGGCAGAAATGAAAACAGCCTGGAACCCAAGTCAAAACTGGTTAAAAGGTTGCCTTTAACAATTCTGCAGAAGCTCATTTTGTTTTATTTGTCCACAGCCTGAGATGTTCCAGATGTCCACCACAACCACAACACACTGGATGTGCTGTCAGAATTTAGAAGCAGCATTTGAAAAAAATCAACAGCAACATCTCTTCTCAGGAATTCTGAGGAGAAACCAGAGATATCCTGGTCAGCATGTTTTCTTAGGGACTATTCCTTCAGCAGAAGGTAGTCTCAGGAAAACCGTTCAGGGTGAGGTCTGTGGATTACCCAGATTAATGGGGACACTGACTTTTAAACTGTAACCTGCACTGTATCAGGTGTGGTGGCAGGAATCTCGTGCAGAAATACAACCAAAACGATCTCTGTGTTTACAGTTTTGCCAAGGGGGCACTGTACTAGAGCTGAAACTAACTTTACTACCTTTACTGAAAAGAGTGTGTAACCAACCCTAAGTGGGGTTGTCAACCCTCAAGGATTGGCCGGGAGACTCCCGGAACTGATTTAGGCCTCCCAGAAAAAGCAAAAATCAAAACACCGACTGAACACATAGAAGTAAAAAGCCAGGAAAAATACAAATTTGCTGGGGGCATCAACAGAGAAACTGAAACTGCACAATTTAATTTTAATGTAACAAATTTAGGGCACTTACAATATACTAAAAATACTACCTTACTGTAGGGATTTTGCATCGCCAGTTTTCTGCCTTTGCTTTGTGTTTTTATGGTGCTGAGATGCTGAAGGGACAGCTCCTGGACAGAGTAGTATGAATGCCGTCATCCATATGGCTTTTATCTTCATACAGTGCCTTGCCAAAGTATTCGGCCCCCTTGAACTTTGCGACCTTTTGCCACATTTCAGGCTTCAAACATAAAGATATAAAACTGTAAGTTGTTGTGAAGAATCAACAACAAGTGGGACACAATCATGAAGTGGAACGAAATTTATTGGATATTTCAAACTTTTTTAACAAATAAAAAACTGAAAAATTGGGCGTGCAAAATTATTCAGCCCCCTTAAGTTAATACTTTGTAGCGCCACCTTTTGCTGCGATTACAGCTGTAAGTCACTTGGGGTATGTCTCTATCAGTTTTGCACATCAAGAGACTGAAATTTTTGCCCATTCCGCCTTGCAAAACAGCTCGAGCTCAGTGAGGTTGGATGGAGAGCATTTGTGAACAGCAGTTTTCAGTTCTTTCCACAGATTCTCGATTGGATTCAGGTCTGGACTTTGACTTGGCCATTCTAACACCTGGATATGTTTATTTGTGAACCATTCCATTGTAGATTTTGCTTTATGTTTTGAATCATTGTCTTGTTGGAAGACAAATCGCAGTCCCAGTCTCAGGTCTTTTGCAGACTCCATCAGGTTTCCTTCCAGAATGGTCCTGTATTTGGCTCCATCCATCTTCCCATCAATTTTAACCACCTTCCCTGTCCCTGCTGAAGAAAAGCAGGCCCAAACCATGACGCTGCCACCACCATGTTTGACAGTGAGGATGGTGTGTTCATGGTGATGAGCTGTGTTGCTTTTACGCCAAACATAACGTTTTGCATTGTTGCCAAAAAGTTCAATTTTGGTTTCATCTGACCAGAGCACCTTCTTCCACATGTTTGGTGGACAGGGAAGATGGTTCAAATTGATGGGAAGATGGATGGAGCCAAATGCAGGACCATTCTGGAAGGAAACCTGATGGAGTCTGCAAAAGACCTGAGACTGGGACGGAGATTTGTCTTCCAACAAGACACTGATCCAAAACATAAAGCAAAATCTACAATGGAATGGTTCACAAATAAACATATCCAGGTGTTAGAATGGCCAAGTCAAAGTCCAGACCTGAATCCAATCGAGAATCTGTGGAAAGAACTGAAAACTGCTGTTCACAAACGCTCTCTATCCAACCTCACTGAGCTCGAGCTGTTTTGCAAGGAGGAATGGGCAAAAATTTCCGTCTCTCGATGTGCAAAACTGATAGAGACATACCCCAAGTGACTTACAGCTGTAATCGCAGCAAAAGGTGGCGCTACAAAGTATTAACTTAAGGGGGCTGAATAATTTTGCACGCCCAATTTTTCAGTTTTTTATTTGTTAAAAAAGTTTGACATATCCAATAAATTTCGTTCCACTTCATGGTTGTGTCCCACTTGTTGTTGATTCTTCGCAAAAAATTACAGTTTTATATCTTTATGTTTGAAGCCTGAAATGTGGCAAAAGGTCGCAAAGTTCAAGGGGGCCGAATACTTTCGCAAGGCACTGTATATTGATGATGTGAAAGGTCAGAGTTGTCTAAGTGGTGGATGCACCTGTGTCTATCTGGGACTGCTGGACTTGGTAAAGTCTGTCATGGGTATTTATTTGTGTCTGTGTGGCCTGACACCTTTCAACGGTTTTTCATTTAATGTGTCACCCATCTGTACACTAGCTGTTCAATGTCTCAGCTAACCAGCTTTTTATTTCTTCTTCTCTCTACCAGTGCTTCTACACTACAGCTCAATAAGTGCATCATTCAACAAGGTCATTGTTGAGCACGTGTGCTAATGCACCTTGTCCTGGTTAGCTTAGCATGTAAGTTCAGGGTTAAATGGCTGCAGCCTCCAGAGCGCAGTGACTGGGTAACAACACCTGTGTGAAATACAACTGTCTCTGCTTATAAATTAACCAAACTCAGGGCAGTAGCATGGGTTATTGTGGTAATCGGTATTTTAAATAGACCTACTTTCTGCAGGGTTAATAAAAATGTCTCAAACTAAATTCTGAATGTAACCTAGGCACTTCAGCCTTTACCCTAAACATTAGTCTTGATTCTTGAAGAAGTGGGGACCCAGAAAATCTGGGTTTCAAATGTATCTTTTCTCTTTTAAGGAAATTCTTACACTTCTCTTTTTGCCTGAAGCTTAACCTCAGTCCCCTTCTCATCACACCGAACCACGTACTTTTTGTTGCCTACCAACTCTTTCCACTAGGTAAGTACTTTCAACTCCTCTCCAGATCTAACCACCACCTCTAGCTCACAGGGCCTCAGTTTAGGAATGTTTTTAAATAAAACCTCTTGATTTGACTGGGTTCTGGTCCTGTGTTAATGAGTGCTCCAAACTCTGTAAGCTCCTCCAATAATCAAGTGTCAAACACGAAGTCAGTGTCTGCCTGTGTTTGTGTGAAAGTTGGGAATAATGATGCTGAGCTCTCTAGGACAAACCTGAGCACAGCAGAAAAACAGTGAGAGACAGAGAAACTCTGCCTGCCAACTTACAGATGAGCACTCATGACTGAGGATTTGCCCTGGCTGAGAGAGATTAAAGCAAAAAGAGAGGCAAGGTGTGAATGAAAAAAGAGATGGCCAAAAAGGTTTGGCCAAGAGCCCAGAAAAATTAGTATGAAATGACTTAAACCCCCAAATTCAAGAGGGAACTCAGGAATAAAGACACAGAGAAAAACACAAACAGCAGGATCTACAGATGATCTGTTCTGCTGTGTGTTGCTAAAAGCAGACGAACTGACGTACAAAGATAAAGCAGCAGTTCAGAAATGATCCCTGTAGTAGTTTGTCCTCGACTGTTTCCTCCTTCATACTGCCTCATTAAAAAGGGTTAATATTACTGTGCTTTGTGGATAGATAACATTGATCATAAATCTTTGAGTGATCTGATTTGTCTGCACATCGCTTCCTACCAGGAATCTGCGGTTCTGTTTCCACAGTGCTCCCTGAGCATTGGTGTGTTGATGCGCCTCTGTCACCATGCGGATCAGCTCCCATTCGGCCACGGTGGGCTCTGGACGGCTCTGGAGGGATTTAACCATTTCCTCCTTCTTGCGTCGCTCCCTGTTCTCCTCAATTAACCGCCGTTTAGCCACCCGCTTTGAGTCATCCAGCACCACTGGGGGGAGATGGAGGAAGGCAGAGGAGTCACAAAGAGAGAGAGAGAGCGTGCCAAGGAACAGAAAACAAAATAGAAGTATGCAATTAGTGGGTGTGTTGCTTAAAGTTTGCACATTGTCTTAGGTTGCAGCTTCTGTATGAACGTTCTATACACAGCCTGTACATAAAGCCCACATATCAGTTATCTCCCCAGGATTACTACCACAGTTTCAAAATACAGTATGAAATGTGTCATTTAAATTCATCACTAACTGTCCTGAAATATAGAAAGACCTCAAATCACAGACACAGACACCACAGCCTGCAACAATGCACATTTTTCTCAGTACCTTTTTTGTGTCTGTGTGTATTTAGTGCAACACTCACAGTCCATGGCCATGCCCACTGCGATGCACTTCTTGAAGCGGCAGAGCTGGCACTGGTTGCGGGTGATCTTGTCGATGATGCAGCAGCCATCGTATTTACAGGAGTAGGTGGGATGGAGGTTCTTTTGAATGGTCCTACGGAAGAAACCCTGCAGGCAGGCAGCAAGGAAGAGAGGGAGGAACAATAGGACGGGCGGAGAGAGGCAGTCGGGGATATACGGAGGGTAAAATGGCAAAATCAGAAAGCAAGAGTGTGATTAAGAGTTGAAGAGAATAGTGTGATGAAGGGAGGCAGAAATAAAAGTAAAGGGAAGGAGACAGAAGAAAGAGAAAGAGGAATATAATGTTAAATCCGACACATCATATTGTTTTATGTTAGTTTTTTTTTTGGCTGAGTGAAGATACCCATTTGTTGACTGTGCAAAAAGATTTATTCCAATTTTTTTACCGACTACACAATAAATAATTCATCAGTTACACTCACTGGCCACTTTATTAGGTACACCTGTACAATTATATGCTTATAGTGCAACATCTGCCATAACATCTGTATTTATGAAGCTCAAAATGTTTCAGCTTTTGGAGAAATCATAAATGTATAAATTCAATTATCTCTATATTTTTGTCCTCTCCAGCTACACACATGAAAGAGTCGGAATGTTAGGAACACCTCTGAATCTAATGTAGTCCAGTACAACGCCACCTTTAACTAGGACCTCAATAAGAAACATATCTTCTTCTTCTTTCGGTTGTTCCCGTTAGGGGTTGCCACAGCGAATCATCTGTTTCCACCTAACTCTATCCTC